TATATATATATAAAACAAAACTGAAGAGATCAAGCAGAATTTTCCTGAAAATAAAACTATCAGTAAAGGAAATGACTAATTTTTAAAAAGTAGAAATTAAAGCAAAATATTAGCCTCATTACCAGTCTCCAAATTGCAAAATAGGCAGATACTTTTCAAGTGGCTAATAGCATTTGAAAAGATGCTCCACATCACGTCATTAGGAAACAGAAATTTAAAACAATAATGAGGTATCATTATGTACCTATTCAAATAGCTAAAATAGAAACAAAAAATGGCAAAATTAAGTACAGGTGAGAATATGAAGTAATTGGGAATTCTTATTGCTGGCTGGAATGGTACAGCCACTTTGGAAGACAGTTTGGCAATTTCTAACAAAGCTAAACTTAGTCTTGTCATATGATTCAGCAATCATGCTCCTAGATATTTATCCAAAAGAGCTGAAAGCTTATGACCAACAAAAACCTGTAGATGAATATTTATAGCAACTTTATTTATAAAATTGGAAGTAACCAAGATATCCTTTAATGGGTGACTCAAGAAGCAAATGATGATACATTCAAACAATGGAATATAAGTCAGTTTCATAATACAGCGTATAACTGTTTTAGAAAAGATCAATATTTGAGCACAGCATGTTATGATTAATATAATCAAGCTTTATAATTTAAACATCATGTATGTTGAGTATTAAAGAACTGGACATTAGAATTTCTCTTAAATACTTACGAAGGAATGGCATTAAACTCATCAGACGTTACAAATGGCATTTCTTTAATAATTCTTTGTTCTTTGGGAAGCTTCTTTGTAGGAGCGGGTTCCTCAACCTTTACCGGTTCTTGAGGCTCAAGATCTGATTCACTGACACTACAGAACAGAGATACACAAATGTACAGTGGGTCATCATCAGAATTCTGCGGCGTTCTAGAAAATGTTCCCAAGTGAAAATCATAAGTACCAAACATGATCTAGCTTATAATTTTATAACCACATTTTTTTCTATCTTTCACCCTATTGTTGATAAAGATATGATGAAACCACCAAAAAAATAACTTCCCTAATTTTCAGTAATATAATTGCATTTATATGCTCAAAACATGGTGTATGTAGTATTATATGCCTAAACATCCTTGTTAGTCATCTCACTGATTCCTCAAAACCCACAGGTGGAAAGCTGACCTTATCTTTACCACTATACAGTTTCTCTTCCCTATTTCTGGGCATGCAAGCTTCAATTATTATCTTATACTCCTATTTTTCTAGTTTATTCACTTGGTCACTGGCATCAATCCCTGCCTGTTGCAGTCTCATTTTAGTTGCTAGTAATGAGCACAGGTCACTCCTGAATTCAGTTCTGCTCAATTTTGGAGCTAATGAGAAGCCTAATATAGTTCCTTACCCACCTGGCAAATGGAGTCTATAAATAGACCATAGCTTCCATATTATTTAACTGCCAGGGAAGGAAGACTCATGTTGTCACTGGCTTAACTGTTCCAAAAATGAGATGGGAAATAGGAAAGAGTAGACTCAACCTACAGCAAGTGAAAGGGATCCCAAGGAAGACAGGAAGTGAGAGCCCCAGATGACAGTTGGACACAGCACAGAGGGGACCAAGCCTGACAGGAAGTGTCTGTGGTGCGGCAGGCTGTCAGGATGCCCAACACGACAGTGCCCTCCATCTTCATTGAACCCTCACATGAGTCTCCATGGTGAGCATGGCTAATTCTTAACCTGAACTCTTCTACCACATGCTAGGGACGTGTGACTTCTCCTTCATGCCCTGCGTATGAGCTATAAAGCTCTGCCTTGACCTAGCCCTAGAAGCTGAGGCGTTAGTGAGTACAGAATAAAATCCCTCCTGTTCTTCTCGCTGTTTCTGCTGCTCGTCCCATATCTAGCCCAGAGTACAATCCTGGCGAGTATCCTACCATGACTTCCTTTCCCAGCAGTCACTCATAACCTTCCTATTATCTGATAGGGAAACTGCAAAGTATGCTGACCTCTGTTGACCTCATCTTCTTCTGGAGACCTTCAACTGCCAGTAGTAGTGAATAAGGCTCATCTCCCACACAGCAAGAGTCACACTTCACTTTTAGTTTTCCAGACTCAAACAGTATATCATTTATGGAAACATACACACAAAGGTATGATTATCATAAAGGCAGGGCAGTGATTATCACTTTAAAAAAAAGAGGATAGGGCCCTCCCTGGTGGTGCAAGGGGTAGGAGGCAACACTGGAAGTGAGCAGCAGCTGCTTCAGTGCTAGTTCGATCCCTGGCCCTGGAGGTGACCCACAGGGCACAGCAGACCTCTCCTGACCCGCCTGCTGCTCCCCTCAGCAGTGTACTTTGTCGATCTGCCTATTCTGCTCCTCACTCAGTCTCCAGTGAATCCTTCTCACCACCCCTGCACCTCTGGCTTATACCCCAGTTCTATATGAATAAATAAATAAATCTCTAAAAAAAAAAAAAAGAGGATCTATAATAGAAGCAGTTTAAGATACTAGGAATGTCCTATTTCTTAACCTACCTGGTAGGTACATAGATGTGTGTTTTTTATTTTTCTTTAATTCACACAAAATAATACTTTTAATCACTTTTCTAGACATATAATACATTTTTAAGCTTAAAGAAATTAAGGTAGTCATGGAATGTTTTTACACACTCAGATCAAATTTTTGAATATTATTTTGGTACAGAGGCCTGGAGAGTTGAGAGTGAGAAATACTAGAAAGATAAAACACAGGAGTCCTCAAATCAAAATCCCAGAATGATAGAAGATCTCATTCCAGCCAGGCCAGGAGAAGAGAGAGGAGGGCAGGAGCAGACAAAACTTCGCAGAGGAAGATGTGTGGCTGAGGGCTGTGAGCAAGCAGACCGGTGGACATGCTGGTTCCTGTCTAGGTAACGGAGGATGGGAGCTGCAGGCCTGGGTAGATGAGTGACAACCTTAGACATGCCAGCTGGAAAGAAGAGCACATCATCAGAGTCCCACCTGGCAATTAAAACAGCAAAAGTAGGTGTCACATCCAGGCTGGAGTTGCACACCTGGAAGCATTAACAAACAAGCATAAAATGGAGCTTTAGGAGCAACAGAATTTGAAAGGCAGAGAAAAAGGAGGCTGCCAAGTTTGAGAAGTTGGAGGACAACTCAAAAAGCACAGTGATAGTAACAGAAAACAAAATTCCAAGACAAAAAGATGGACCGCAAAATGAAGAACTGGGGCTCAAGAGGGATTTTGACCTCTGTGATCTTCAAGCCATCAATACCACAAGTTTGGCTGCATTAACAATCAAATGTTAGGCTTTAGGGGAATCTGGCAGAAAGAGAAGGCACAAACATGTATTGGCAGTAGACAGATACAGAACTGAGGGAAAAGCAGAGCTAAACTGTGGGAAATTTATGAAGTGTATTTTTACCCTTAAGTGGTTCTCAAGGGCCAGGGGAAATTCTGCCCAGAGGAAATCTAGCAATGTCTGGGGACCTATTTCATTGTCAAAAGGATGAAGGGAGACTTCTGATGTCTAACTGGGATGCTCCTAAACAGCCTACTTACCAAGCCTAAAATATCAACAGAAACAACAGGACAAAACTCTGCTTTAAGGAAAAGAAATAAGAAAAAATAGAAGAGAACCTAGAGACTAACCCTTAGAAAAGAGAAGTGACAAGTTCCTCAGAGATGACAGGAGTAGGAAACGAGTGAAGACAGGGGGAACATTATTCCCAGTTTGATAAAAGAGTAGACTGTCACTAGCAAAACTGCTAGGATATGAAAAAGCAAAAAGACTTGCGGTGTTTTTTTTTATTGGCTTATAAATCCAGATAGCACAATGAATTATAAATACACTTACACGTTCTGAGTCACTGTTACTTGAGGCAAATGGGGAGGAATGTTTTCTTTGAGATGTTCCACATCTTTGTAATCTTCTTCAAGAGATTCACAGAGTTCCTAAAATTTAAACAATGCTCACAAATAAGCATCCACCCTGCCTGTTTTATATGACATTATAAAGCACATGGAAGACTGAGCCACAATCACAAAGATTATGATTATTCAGAACACAGAATAAGATGAAAAAAAAGCAAAGAATGCAAAAATATACTAAAAGTCTTTGGGTTTAGAGCTGGTTTGGCATGGCTATCTTATTTTTCTTTACTGGTATTTTTCAAACAAGTTATCATCATATCACAACAGGCAGGGTTGACATTTTTTGAATACTATGATCTTGGGAGGCAACCAAAAAATATATGGAAGATTTATGCTTGTTATTATGTGGAAGATTATGCATTGTCCAGTAAATCACTCTTGTTGACTCAGAAAGTACTCCTGAGCATTATCTGTGTAATAGCACCAGTGACAAAGCAAGTGAGGATGCTGATTAGCATGATGCCCATGGCTGACATGCATATTTTTCAACTTAATGAGCATTTCAACTTGATGCTAATCTGTTTTTCTTTTACCTTTATCAACTTTCACTAACACTTGAGGAGAGGAACTTGCACAATTTAATAAAGAAAATATTCTGTACCTTTGCATTCCAGCTATTTGATTCTCAATCATAATGTGAACAAAAATTCCAAATACCCTTCAGTTCTGAGTTGAACATTCTCTGTGCCCCACACCAAATCTGGACATTCTTAGGCACATTAGAATTGAAAAAAAAAAAAAAAAAGCAACTGGCTTCTGTTTTGAATTTATATGACATCTTTCTTTCAGAGAGATAAACAATGTTCATGAATACTAATTTCATTTTTTGACTAACAGGCATAACTGTGCCCATTCCTAGTTAAAAAGTCATACAGAACTTAAGGATTATGAGGTTGAAAGGAAGCCTTCTAACCCTTAAGAAGGCCAGCTTGTTCAGTACTGCTACTGCATGTTAATAGCTCTGATAACAGAAGGAGGTAATGGTGACTCAGGTTGCGCATTTTCCCTTCAGCACACCCACAAGCACTTTTATTTGTCATGGTAAATTAGAAAAGTCTGATTTAGAACAAGATGTGCGTGTGGATGAAATTCAGAAATTGAGGGATCTAAGAAATAGTTTGGTGTGATCCATTATTTTTTAAAGGAGGACCCTAAGACTCCAGAAGCTAAAATGAAGAACTTTCTTAAGATGGCAGAGGGTGTTAAATGCAGCCAGGGTGCAAGTCTACATCATCTCACCCCAAGGGACGTGAACCTTCCATGCTGCTCCACCAGGAGATCGTTTCTCTAAATCAAGTCTACCAAGAATGATTTAGAAAATCTTCCTTTTTAGTGAAGTTCAATTCTATTGATTGTAAAGCTCTGGAGTACTTCATATTGGAAAAACACAAATGGCACTCTATACCATTAATAATGTACAAGGCTAGAATATTTTAAACTTGAAGAAGCTTTAAGAATTCCCTGGTGATTTTGTATTTATTCAATTTAGCTAAAGGTGATTTATTGCTTTTTGTTTCTTCACTAGATATTATCTTACCTTGAGTGAACTGTTGGTTTGTTCTTGATACTGAATTTCCAATTCCAATTTATTTAAAAGTTCATTTACTACAATAATCTCATCTCCTATTTTATTTAATATAGTCGTCAAGGTAGGTTCTTGACCTATTAATAAAAAATAATAAAATTTAAAAGTAAAGTTTATAGGTAAATCATAACATACATGTACCCACTGAATACCTGAAACAGAGCTTAATGCTAAGAGACACTTAGGTAGAGAAAGAACTGCTTTGGCCCGTAACATCTATTTCCAGCAATAATCTTAAAATCTCCATTCTTAGACATTAGGAAATGGGAGAGGTATGTACAAGTACAAGATGTCTTCTGAGTCCTGTTTCTAACAAATTCCACAGCTATAATAAAACAACTAGAAATACTAGATAAAATAAATACCCTTCTACATGCATGGCTGAGTTTTTGTGAGAATGACAAAGTAAATTCCCAAAAAAGAAGCACAGATTAGGTACTAGGTATTAGTTGACACTGTAGCTGCCCTAAGCCAGGGAATGAGGACAATGCCGGAGAGAGGTAGGTCATCAGTCTCAGAAATTTAAAACACTTGGGTTTGGGCCCTCCGTGGTGGCACAGCAGGTTAAAGCACAGCACTGAGAAGCTAAAGCCACTTCAGCATGACTTCGATCCCTGCCCCGGAGGTGACCACAGAACGTAGAGGGACCACATGGCACAGAGGTGACCACAGGCCTCAGATCTCTCCTAGCCGGCCCGCTGCTCCCCTCAGCAGTGTACTTTGTCAGTCGGCCTGTTCTGCTCCCCACTCTGTCTCTGGTGAATCCTCTCACCACCTGTGTACCTCCTGCTGTAACAGGTACAGGTTTCATGGACTCCGCCCCCACTCGATGCTGGAACTCTAAATCCCATCAGTACCAAGGAGAAGCACGCTGGGCCGTGAGGGCGGAGCTGAGCAGCCAGGTTGGGATAAAACCGGACATGTGGGCTCTGGGGGGACCCGGTGGTTCGCAGCTGATCGTTTTGGCGCTCAATCGGTTTTCAGCGTGCGGGTGGAGTCCAAGTCAGCAGAACTGTTAGGCCATCCTAGTTGACCTGTGTTTCTCTCCCTCTTTCCCTGGGTTATTCCTTTACCTTTCTCCTTATAAATAAATCCATTATTTAACCTTTTGAAGTGTGTCCATAAAACGATTGAATCGTAAGCGCACGGGTGAAGACCCACAGACAGGCAACCCAATTCACTTTGGGGTACCCTGTAACACTGCCTGAACCCCAGCTCTGTATGCATAAATAAATAAATCTTTTAAAAAAAAAAAAACACTTGGGTTTAAGAATTTTGGGGGACTCAAAGCACTAGGAGTTGGAAGTCAGAATCCCAAATGAGGCCAAGACAGCATCATGAGCTGTACATTCAGTGAAAAGTGCAAATTTTAAAATTCTAACCACAAGCCAGGGGACATAAGCTTATGCTTTTACTGGCCCTAAGGTGTAGATGGGAGGTAGAGGGTAGCTTCTCTCCAGAATTATAAAAGAGGCTTGGGATTCTCAGGGCTTGGGGGTTCTATTTACATTACCCATACTCTTCAAAATCCTTATAAACTGGAAAAGTAACTGGAACATCACAGATTGGTGATAACTAATTGGGTGGGGTGCCTGACATTTGTAAAATAGAATCCTCTTCTATTGTCAATCCCTCTTCCACCTCCTCCCACCTCTCTTCAGATTCATAGATTTGAGAATGAGAAATCAGTCTCCTCCCCAGAGATAAGAAATCACTCGAATCTGTGTTACTTACTGCAATTTCTTAATGACAGTGTTTTTTTGATATTGCCGATCTTTTCATTGATATAAAAGCATAATTGTTCCAGATCTGAGGAAGTCATCCTTCAAGCCTCTGAAGAAAAAAAGAGACATTTATTAAAAAAAGAAAAGCCAGACAAATTTGTGTTCACTTTCAAAATCCAAGAATGGTAAATCGCATCTCCCTAGACATTCAAAAAGTCAAAAGCAATTCCTTTCAGTTCTACAAAACTTAGTTCCTAATTCAGTACTTCTTGTCTCAGAGCCTGTATGCAATCAGTGCATCCCAAACACAGGCTAAACCTGAGTTGCTTCATTATCGATTTGGGCAAGAAAATGCCCTGTTTGTTGCAAGAAACACGCAAAAGACACACTATATTTTTCAAAAATAAACGTAAAAAGTTCAAAGAAACGGGTCCTGGTAAGCGCGTCTCCCGACTGGGGGATTGAGAAGGAAGAAAGGTGCAGGGCAGTTGATGGGGCTTACGTATTTGGGATCTGTAAGAAGTCAGAGGGAGGGCAAAGACGGAAGTCAGTTACTGCGCACTCTGAAGGCAGATGCGAACAGGACGATCCGCTTCCGCTAAAAACACAAGGAAGGTCAAGCTCTGCTCCTCCGTCCTGACAGCCACGGCCCTGCACCCCGAGCAATGCCTTGTGCTGCTTCCCAGGAAGGACCCTCAACACTGGACTCCAACCTCGCGCCGGTCCGGGAGCAAAGGGCCCATTCGCTGCCACCCTGCCAGACCAGGGGACCCGCGTTTCGGCCGGAAGAACAGGATCGCGAGGAGTTACACCAGGAGCGAAATTCTAGGAGCGAAATTCAAACTGCCCGCCCGGCGCAGGCGCAGAGTCGCACCCGACGGCCGCGGCGCAGGCGCACAGTCGCACCCGCGCGTCACGGCCGCTCCCGCGGGGGGGCGGGGCCTGCGCAGACCGAGGGGGCGTGGCCGGGAGGGGCGAGGCCGGGGGAAAAGGCGGGGCTGGGTCTGCTTTGGGTGAATGGCTGCAGAGACCGCTCTCCCTCCTCCTCCTGGTCTCCTCAGTCGGTAAGACAGTCCCGACCGCTGCCCAGCCGCGGCCAAGGTCTCGGGGAGGGGGTGTCAAATGGCGAGCTAAAACGGTGGGTCCGAAAAAGGGCCCCACGCTGTATCCACTGAGGCAGCGCGTCCAGGTTCCAGTTTGTGGGCGATACCCCAGATCAGTGAAATAGGCACTCTGGGAGTGGGCTGAGGTGAGGGCTGGCCAGAGGCGGTGATTTTTAATCTCTAATCTGGCAGTTTAGTTTAATACACTGTCCACGGCTACAGGCCGTGGGAGATGGCTCTCTAGAATGCAAACTCTGCCTGTGTCCTGTGGTGGCACCACTTGTTCCAATGTGGTGCTTTAGAAGCTATGAGTGGGCACTATGACCCAGTTAAGTCAATAATAGGCTTTTTTTTTTTTTTTACAGATTTATTTATTTGTGCATACAGAGCTGGGGTACAGGCGCTGTGAGAGGCTTCATCAGAGACAGTGGGGTGTCAGAACAGGACTCACGAGGTGCACTGCTGAGGGGAGCAGCTGGCGGGTCAAGAGAGGTCTGCCGCGCCATGTGGGTCATTTCCAGGGCTGGTGATCGAACTCATGCTGAAGTGGCTTTAGCTTCTTAGTGCTGTGCTTTAACCTGCTGCGCCACCTAGGAGGGCCCCAGTAATTGGCTTTTTAAAACACTCCAGATAATTCCAAAAAGCGGGCCATTTTGTGAGGTTAAAGATAAGGACCCTTTCTTCATGAAGATACAAATTTAAAATACAAAAATCAAAGTTTAATTCTTGTTAAAAGGAAAAGTATCCCAGAACAGGTATTGGCGGCTCCACAGTCACCTAGGATCCAAGATCCCTCCACTTGGTGCTGCCTCACATACCCCAATGCATTCTGGCCTCACAGTTGCCTCACGTGAGCTGGCTGCCATTTCCTTCCTTAGGCCTTTGTTCCAGGCAGTAGAAAAGAGGAAGAGGTCAGGGTAACAAGAGGCTTATCTATCAGCTGATCCAGAACCTTTTAAGAATTTTCCTGGGAGCCACACCCTGTGACTTCCCTATGCTTTTCACTTGTCATTTAATCTTCCAGGAAGACAGACAAAAAAAAAAAAATCATTAAAAACTGGTACATTGTAACCTGATTAGATCCTGGGTGTAACTAGCAACTTTGGATTGTTACTGTTGACAAACTTGTTTTTAATGGGAAAATTTCAAACATAAACTCAGGAAAAGTAGTATAATGAAATCTGGAACTCAAACCATCACTCAACATCACTCAACTTTGAACATTATTAATTTATCACAAATATTATTTCACTGTACCTCTTTACCTTTATTCATTGCCCCTGTAATATTTTGAAGAAACTTTCAAACATTGTAGATTTTTCTTCAAAAACATTTCCATACGTATTTCTTAAAGGTAGAATTCTTTAAAAATTAAATTAGTATTATCACAAGCTCTCCATGGTGGCGCAAAGGGTTAAAGCACCACATTATGAAGCTCTCCGAAGCCACTACCGCACAAGTTGGATCCCCAGCCAGAAAGCTGACCCACTGGGTGTTGCAGACCTCCTCTGACCCGCCCACTGCTCCCTCAGCAGTGTACTTCATCAGTCTGCCTGTTCTGCTCCCCATTCTGTCTCTGGTGAATCCTCTCACCCACCACATCTCTGGCCTGTACCCCAGTTCTGTAAGCATAAATAAATCTTTAAAAAAAAAACATTTTAGTATTATCACACATAAATTCTTTATCACTCCTGAATAACAAATATCCAGTCAATATTCATTTTCCCCTGATTTTATCATACAACTGTTTGTTACACATTGTTATTTGATCCATACTTTTAAGAAGTTGCTTTAATCTCAACATATCTTTATTTAGAATTGAAGTCCTTAAAAAAGAACAAAGTCTTTCATTGCAGGTGTAAATATAAGGCTTAAAATGTTAATATTCTAGGAAAAATAGCAAAGTAACAGAAATTCACCCTGCAGGATCTTGTTTTTCCAAGATTATTTCCCCTGAGGAAATAAAGGGAAGAAAAGAGCATTAAAGACACTAAATACAAAAGGAAATGGAGAGTTGTGGAAAAACAGAAATGAGCAGTTGGATCACACTGACTACTTCATATTTCTTTCAAGGACTGGATGATCTGACAGGACTTCTTTAATTATGATGACAGAAAGTATCCAAATTGACTTAAGCAAGAAGAGAAGATTTTATTTGGCTTCTAAAACAGTAAATATGGTGTGTATGGGGATGCATGTCTTCAGTTACAGCTGATATGTGCATACACGTGACTCAAGTCATCTCCATCTGTCTATCTCTATGGTTCAGTTCTTCCTCTGTGTTGGATCCCACGCTCAGGCAGGCTTTTCCCCTTGGTGACCTCTGGTATCTCCAGATTTATACCCTTAGTGGATTGACCTGTCAGGTTCCTAGAGATCTAACAAACCCCCCCACTCTACCCCCTGGATTGCATGTCACTGGGTCATGTGTCTACTCCTGAACTAATCATCCTAATTGGAGGGTTGGAATAGTGTGACTGGAGAGACACCCTGAAACTGGATGCCAGGGTTAACCCTACCCAAATTTTGAGAGTAAGACACAAGCAGATTCTCAAAAGAAAAACTAGGTGTTTTTATACGATAATGAAGACAGGAAACAGTATTGGAAGCAGGTAAAAAAGTAATGCAAACCAAAAATCGGTGTTCTTCAGAGTTATGATCACATATATTCAAGGAAAAACTAAAAAGAGCACTATGTAAGAAAGTAAGGAGCTGTTCCTTACAGAAATATGAGCAAGAGTGAAAGTAATATGAACTGAAGAAGATGATATTAATATCATCAGTTGACATTTATTTTGGGTACTTACTCTAATTCAGACATTACTGTGCAGTGTTCTATTGAGTCTTTGTAATGTGCTTATGAATATTTACAATTATGATAGAAACTGAAGCTTAGAGTTGAGTAACTTGCTCAAGTCAATAAATGGCAAAATGCACACCTGACCTCAGAACCTGTTCTCTTTACCATGCTATCCTGCTGCCTCTCAGGAGCAAGGAGTCGTCTGCTCCCATGTTTTGTGTATCTGAACTTAAAGACTTTCATTACTGTTGAGTTCCCTCAGGTCACATGAAGAACTCGAAATTATTTATGAGTTCTCAAGTTTTTGAGGACAGTAAAAAGAAAAAAATCACACTTTTCCCCTGTGTTCTTTCTTCACTTTATTGAGGCTTTCTCCAGGGTATAATATCTTAGTGTTATAGTCAGAATCCCAATTTCTGTGCAGGCAGACTATCCATCAGAAGACCTTTTGTTAACCCCCAGCTCAGTTAGTCCAGTTCAATCATTAACCTGCTCTGTGAACTTGAGACATGAATGACTTATGAGATCAGTTCCAGCTTAAAGTAGTAGGTATTTTTCCTGTGTTTTCCCCTCCTGTAGTTGCTCTTAAAATGTAAATATGCCTAGATAAAGTATAGATTTTAAGTTAAAAAGAAGAGTTAAGACTGTCTCACCAATAAACCTTCCCCACTTCTTAAAAAAAAAAGTCCCAAGAGGATTACAATTGAGATGGAAAAAAAGCACAAAATGATGTAGCAATAAACATATTATTTTTAAAAATGCACCAGAATATAAAAATTATTTTAAAAGCCCCTCTCCAAAATGATAACTGAGTATTCCCCCAAGGGATGGACTGCTTCGGAAAGACCCGAGAAGACGTGGTTTTTAAAAGAACATGATCTCTAAAGGAAAGGTTGTGTTCAACATCTGTAAGAAATGGTTGAGCATGTTCATTTAATTGTTGAGTGGTTCTGTAACAGTTAAGGTTTGAGGGGAGACGCTGTTCTTCCTGTCGATTTAAAAAGAGAGAGAGAGAGAGAGAGTACTATAAAACAGAATACTCTTTGTTTGGTATCAGTAAGACTTCTACCAAATCAAAGTTTTATCTAGAAACTATATATGTGGCATCTTTAAACTTGATAAAACTAGATTTTTTGCCGGACAGAAATGCAGGTGGGAAGACGCCTTGCCACTCGGCCACTAGATGGCAGGGCAGAGCCATCCTTC